TTATGCCCACAGCTACGAGCGGCCGCATTGACAATGGAGGCTGAGAACATAGCCCACTCGGGCTCCATGTCTCCAGCCTCCCCCGGAATCTGGGAGAAGTCCTCCCGGAGGTGTGAGTTGAAGATCCCCCTGACAGAGGGCTCTGCCAGACGTTCCCAACAGACCCTCACAATACGCTTGGGCCTGCCAGGTCCCTCCGGCTTCCTCCTCTGCCAGCGGATCCAACTCACAACCAGGTGGTGATCAGTTGACAGCTCAGCCCCTCTCTTCACCCGAGTGTCCAAGACACACGGCCGGAGGTCAGATGACACGACGACAAAGTCGATCATCGACCTCCGGCCTAGGGTGTCCTGGTGCCACGTGCACTTATGGACACCCTTGTGCTCGAACATGGTGTTCGTTATGGACAAACTGTGACTAGCACAGAAGTCCAATAACAAAACACCACTCGGGTTCAGATCGGGGAGGCCGTTCCTCCCAATCACCCCTCTCCAGGTGTCACTGGCGTTACCCACGTGGGCGTTGAAGTCCCCCAGTAGAACAACGGAGTCCCCAGTCGGTGCACTGTCCAGTACCCCTCCCAGGGACTCCAAGAAGGCCAGGTACTCAGCACTGCTGTTCGGCCCGTAGGCCGACACCACAGTGAGAGACCTGTCCCCGACCCGAAGGCGCAGGGACACGACCCTCTCGTTCACCGGGGTGAACTCCAACACGTGGCGGCTGAGCTGTGGGGCTATAAGCAAGCCCACACCAGCTCGCCGCCGCTCCCCGTGGGCAACGCCACAGAAATGGAGGGTCCAACCCCCTTCAAGGAGTTGGGTAAACTATTCTCTGATCTATGTTATAATGTTGTTTCCTCATCATAAACATACCTGGAGTTGTGTTTTGTTTCAGTCTTCTTTATTTTATGAGTTCTTTTCTCACAAAAAACAGAAACAGAAAACACTCTGTTCCACCTTATGATGTCATTTGGTATTAGGAGGAAGTGCTTCATTGTGTTTTTGAACCTCCACACACCTTCACTAGAATGATTTGGATGATTAGATCCCTGGAAATGCCGATCTCTCTGAATTAAAGGTAAAAGGAGCTGTTTACTACTACATGACATTAAGGTGGAACAGAGCGTTTTGAGATTTGGAGATATGGCCATAATACAGGATTAATCAAACATGTGTGAATGAAACAAAATGCAACACCAGGTATGTTTTTTTGCCATTATAACACGGCTTAACGCTTACAACGCTCTTTTATACTGTTTTATACTGACTATGAGAACAAACCATAGTCTTTTCCAACAGAGGGAAACATGGACTCAGTGTGTATGGTTTGTAGTATAAATACATTATGTTCCCCTAATAACAAGTACAAAAATCTGCATAGTGTGTTGAATTTTTTATTAATTATCACCACAAATGGCAAAGTTATATTAAAAGGTAGCCAACTGTTACGTGAAAATCCTGTTGGAAGGCACTGCCACTCTGCTCTAAAATAGAAAAATAAATGATGTCTCGTCTTTGTTTCATCATATTTTTGGCAGATGTTGACTGAGTCTCCAGTCGATTTGTTTTGGCGCAGCCCTAAACACCAAAACCGTTAATGGTCTAATTCATCACTCTCATATTTACACATTGATTTTTGCAACAGTTCCAATATGGCACATTGAATCAAAATAAATGTTCACAATTAGGCCCTCAGTGTGTCTGCTGTTGTTATCACCAAGCTCACACTTCGTCAAAGCTTTTAAAACTGTGAATAATTAGCTGAATATTAGTTTGATTTTTGGAAGCATTCAAACTTTCTACACTACATTACAAATCACTACATTAGCCTCCAGTGTAATTGTACTTTGGTGGGGGAAAACTGCAGTATTTTTGAATCCCCCCAATTGCTTCTGTAAAGAGATTGAGAAAACCTTATAAATTATTTGTAGGACTATTAATTACTGAGGTATGCACCCGAAATAAAGTAAATACAATAATATACAGCAGGCTTTGATGCATACTTTTTATTATTTAATCCCAAGGCCTTGAAAAGTAACCAAATCAAGTCGTGAAATACTCCTATGCACCACAAAATTATTGACATGTGCACCTAAGCTTGCTAAAGGTAAAATTTTACTCTCAAAGATTGACAAAAATCTATAAATGATCTATAAAGCAATTATACTCTGACATTTTTCCTTGTTTATTGTATGCGTCATGTCATTTATTCCAATTGACCATTTTAAGCACATGTAATCAATTGATTTTAAAGAAAAAAACTGGTATGGTTCTGTTTTATATTCTTAAATGTCTTTTGTATTTTTAATGCAAAGAGCAGACGCAGCAGTTTGGCTGATCTCAGGGGAGGGTCTTAAAAGTGTGACCAGCTGGGATTGTCTGCAGCTGCTGTGGTTCAGGAATACAACAGGAGAAATGTGTCTAGATACGGAATTTGTCAAAACCGACGAGTATTTACAAAGATGAAAATATTACAAATTCAATTCCCAAACCATGTGGATCCTTTATATTTGTAGTTTATGTAAGGTCCATGCAGCTGAAAAAGATTTTACTTAATATAGACAGAGCATGATCAATAACATGAAAACTGTTGAAATTAATGTATAACAAATAATAATTAATCAAGGCGCCTAGAAAAAAGTATTGGCAGAATTTGAAGGGACCATTTAAAAGTAAATTTTGGTGTGATTGAGATAACTCGACTATATATTCTATTGTTTGTTGTTTAAAGCAAAGAAGTGATTAAAAACTAATACCTAATGAGTCCAGACGACTTTTAGTCTGGCTTTAAAAAGTATCATGACACGATATGGAGGAAATTAAAAATGTAATAGTTTTATTGAAGAGGTTCTTGTGGAGTTAAATGGAGGAGGAAAGGTCTTAAGTGTGTTAAGAGGTATTGATGGAGTGAGTTTAAACATCACGATACAGCACTTTCATCCAAATGTAATCAGAGTGAGGGCCATACCAGGACAGCTGTTCAATACTAACTTTGCATTAGTCTGCTCCTGCTGAGTAACCGGAAAAGTACAAGAGCTGCTGTGTCCGGAAGAAGGGAAGTTTTCATCTGGAACTGTCAAAGTGATGAAAGTCTGAAATGTCTTTCACAGACCACCAAATCATCGCAACCTCAACTCCTCTGTATTCAAAATGTATTTCTGTGAAGCCTTGATTATTACGATGATTAAGAGTGGGCCGAGCGCCTTCAGGGATACCCTTGATAATAGGTAAAATATCACTGACGTCATAATAGTCCACAAAATAAGTTGTGTAAATGAAGATCTTTGGTCTTCTAAAATTATCACTCTATTTTATTGTAGCAAAATGTAAATATTAATAAAAATTCAAACGGTCTCAATCTCATCAAACATAAATTTTCAATATTAGCTGATTAACTTAGTATTCTTAGGAACTACTGTATATAGCATTTTCTAAACCAGTGTTTCTTCCAAACTTTTTTTTCGGGGACCCATATTTTAAAAGTCATAAACCTTTGTGACCCAAGTCAATAGACAATATTCATAAATCACAAAATAAAGGTGTATTTGACCATTATTGAAATAATAATAATAATAATAATAATAATACCTCTTACTTATATAGCACTTTTTTTGGACACTCAAAGACGCTTTACAAACAATTAGAAGTAACACTGTAGAAAACGGGGAATTATGGGGGCAATTCCAGTTTGAACAGGTGAGTTTTTAGATGTGATTTGAAGTGCTGCAGTGAGTCCAAGTTCCTGATGGATTGTGGGAGTGAGTTCCAGAGGGAGGGGGCAGTGGCAGCGAACATTAATAAGGATATTTTATTGAGTGATCGTGTCTCTCTGAACAATTGGTATTACTCAAGTTTTAAACAATGAAAAACAGTCATTGAACCTGCAATAAAAGGATCCAGAAGTCGCCTCTTTGGATATTAAATATATCCCATTTCTCTTTCTTTTCAACATTCTGAACATACTGGAACAAAATAGTTTGTAGAACTGTATATTCCAGACATACATGCACCCAAAAAAATCTCTTGTGACCCAGTCTTTGGGAAACAATGTTCTAAACTGTAACTGTGGCTGTACTGCTCTTTAATGAAACTTTATCTCTATGAAAACCTAGTCAATATTTGAGTCAGAAACTATCCGGCCCCTGCATATTATTTTGTTTTGCAGTTTTGCAATGATAAGGCGTCACATTGTTTACACTGGGGTTCCTTCTGTACATGTGTATTGTAGAGCAGACAGGGCTGTGGCCAGTTAATGAGCCCCATGTTGAACTGAGCTCCCTCATAACGCCAGTCATTACCTCCCTGCAGACGGTAATGATTGGAGTGGCCCTACGGAGCACCTGTCTCATCCACTCTCTATTACTGCACCTGCCAACTCATGCTGTGACCTAAACAGGTGGCCACTAAAGCTCCCTAAATTATTCATTGTCTTGCACAGAAGTGATTCTATAAAAGTGCAATATGAGAGTATGGAGAAAGATTGCATGTATTTTAGTCCAATCAAAACAAGCTGCAGTATTGTATTTGACTTATTTCAAATGTTAAATCCTTTGAGGTTTGAGGTTTGGACTTTTTATTCTTCAACCTTCTTCTTTTGGGCTCTGTTTGATATGTAAATAGTAATGTATAATTTCTGCCAAAACACTAAATTAAACTACGACTGGTTGTATTTGTATATGTATACTTATTCTCTAAAGCTGTACCATGTAACCTTTTATTTAAAAAAAGACTAACATAAATACTATTTTTACTTAGTTTTTTCTTTTCTCTTAAGTTACATGGTGCTTGATTGATTTTTGAAAAGCTTAAATTATATTATAACAAAACAAAAAGAACAGTTGTCAACAATTGTCACATAAACAACTAAAACGATTCACTTTTGATGTACTAAATCAGTCAGCTTGTCACTTTTTAAACTGAATTACAAAAATAACAATAATAACATTTTTTGAAGTCACATTTATGTTCTACTAATAACTGTTTTCTGCTTGTTGTTCTTAGGGCAGAGGTTGTGCTTGGAAACATCATAAAGAAGAAAGGATGGAGGTAAGAAGCCACACTTTAATCACTTTTGGTATTTTTTTAATTTCCGCCCGGTCTGCCCGCCTTCCTAATCTGGGATCATCTCTTTGCCTGCACATATTGGGAGGAGGTACTGTGTTATGAACTGGAACATTTTGGTACAGAGCTGAAAGATTAATGTAGACAGCCTAGCCATGCTTACAGCCCCGTGTCCATCCTCAATGAAGCTAAATAATGCATTGGCTAACACTAATTTGTAATTTTCTATCTGTGTCTTTGATTGGCACCTCCATTGTTCTGGAAAGTTAGAGCCTTAGAGTAACTAATCATGCGTGTAAAACTACAACAAAAGCCAAGGTATTGTTAGCTGCTGTATTATAACACCTTGGCGTGCAACAAATGTTCTAAAACCTAAGACAAAATTACGAACTTTGAAATGGTGTTAGCAAAAAAAGTATTTACTAAAATTTCACTGTGTTATAAATAAGATATTGCATTTTTTTTTTCTGTTTTATTTTCTGATCGGATTACAACAAATTTGCATACAATCGTCCCTCACTATATCGCGATTCACCTTTCGCGGTTTCGCTGTTTAGTAGAATTTTATTTTTTTTGTGTGCAATTTTTGCATGCTTTTTTTTTGTAAAACCTCATGATTTGTCTTAGAAGATTTGCTTTTACACTTTTATTTCCTTTTTTCACATTTATCTCACTTGGTTCATGCATTTTTTACTAATAAAACTAAATTAGAGATAGACCAATATATCGTTTGTTCGATATATCAGGCCGATTTTAGTGCATGGGCTACTCGCCTTAAATCTCCAGCACAGGCCGATATTTAGTATTGGCTTAAAGAGTACATACAAAGCCATATTTGAACACGTTAATGCAAAGCGATAACTGCACAAAACATGACTACATACAGTAGATTTCTTAAAAGTTTAAGGTAAAAATGGCTGTGGGTGTGGTAAATGAAATAATTTGGATAAAATAATATAAATCGACTCCACATTTGCTTCACAGTTGCTCTGTCAGCCATGAAAAGCCTCATATTGATCGATCTCTAATTTAAGTAATGTCTGTACAGTATATATCACTGCTGTTGTAAGTGAAATGGTTGTAATAGCCTTTCCTTTCCTATTTGTAGACGTTCAAGTTTGGTCATAACAACAAAGATTTTCTGGGGTGGAAAGTAAGTAAACGTTTCATTATTTCTGATTGATTCTTCTTTGAAAAAGTGAGAACCTCTAGATAGTAAATTCAATCTAGCTCCTCCGTGTTCAGTTCACAGTTCATATTTCATTCCAGATATATTTCCTAGTCCTTCCTCTGAGAATCCAGTAGTTCTTCATGTAGGTTACAGCGTTTTCATTTTTTCCTATAATTGCCTCTGATGTTGTATGTTTTTTTTTTTTTTACAGAGCTGAGACCGAAAGAGGTTTATCCCGAAAACACATTATAGAAGGTACGTCTCAGAGCTGCAGATTATTGGATTAAATGCAAAACAACAACAAAATGCTCCCATAGTGGTGGCGCCTCCTGGGGAATTCGACCTCGTTTGAATAATTAGCTGGTTGGATTTTAGAGGCTTTTCTGTATGCACTAATTATTCAGGTTTTGATTAGTTTTTTATGAATAACCAGAAATGTGCAGTACTGGGTATATATCTACAAAAATAAGGATACGATGAACAAAAAAGACCAAATTAAAGAAAATATGTATTCTGGTACATGCTAATGGTTCCTACTGAGCCACAAAATTAATTAACATATTGTATATAATTATGAATTTGATCCAAATTTCAGAAATTTTATCATTATTATTTTTATTAAAGGTGCATTGCATAAATTTTCCTTCGAGGGTCCGTCAAATGCTTTTCTCCATGGAGCTGTTATTCCTTTCACAGTATGGCATTAAACCTTTCTATCTTCATGGAGACCAAACCAGACCACGTTATAAGTCAGATCAGTGGGGAGGCAACCCCACTCACTGTCAGAATGTCTGTTTTTTTTGTGTGTGTGTGTTTTTTTAGGTATTTTTGAGCTATAAAACCACTTGTAATTGAACAAATTTAAAGTTGAGCTGTTTAATGTCATACTCTGGAACATTCCAGGCAGAGAAATGATATATCCATAGAAACAAGCAGGTGACACCCTCAACCAAAAGTTACATAGTGCACCTTTAAATCACTTTTTTGTTAACTGCTTAAATGGTTTCTAACTTAAGTAAAATGTTCAATGTACAATGTATATTCACACACATTTCTATTTTAGGTTTAAAGGCATCTTTAGAGAGACTCCAGTTGGACTACGTGGATGTGGTTTTTGCAAATAGACCGGATCCCAACACGCCTATGGAAGGTAATATTGACACACACATAAATGTTAGGTTAAGACCTTACAATGACTTTTTTAAAATTTGTTGAGACTGAGACTAACTATAATTGTAATCACTAGGGATGTAACAATAACCGAAATATTGTGACATTGTATCATCAAAGTTCTCACACTAATATCGTCTTTTTGCTTTAATTAAGAGTTATGGTGCAGCAATAGCTAAAAAAAAAAAAAGACAGAGGGAACTACATAGACCATGATCCTTTGCTCCATTTCAGTGTAGACTACATGGAGAAATAACAGTTCTAAGCACATTTAAGTCTTAATTCTTTGGATTAAGTCTTGTCAAGGCGTTTTAAGAGGAAAAAGTGGCATATTCACAGTTTTAGAGGTTTAGTCTCCACAAAATTTCGCAATAAATATCATACTGTGGGATGTATATTGTGAAAATATTGTACTGAGAGATTTGGATATTGTTACATTCCTAACCGTGAGCCTTCCCACCATATCGTGAGCTTTCCCACAATATCACAATAAACATCGTACCGTGAGGTTCGACGATATCGTATCGTGAGACTTGGATATCGTTACCCCCCCCAGTAATCACCACTTGTCTACCATTATCCAAATTTACCTTTAACATTAAGCCATTTTTGTTGTTGTTGTTGTCTTTTTATCTAATATTCAAGTATTTGCTTTACACAACAACTGCTGATAAGATATTGACTCCTGCAGACTGGAAACATCCCACAAAACTTATAACTTTGGAGCTGTTCTGCACAATAGTCATAAAAACAGAATTATAGAAATATAGTTTGAAACTTGTCAAACTCACTCAAATGCCCATTTTAGCATATTTGAAAATAACTCCCTCTTTGCCTTACTCATATATTTTATTCTAATCTATGACTCCAGGACTTGATGTGGTTGATCTGGGAATACTGCTTAGTAATAATACACCTCCTCTGTTTCTATAAAGTTATAGGATGTACAAATCTGCTGTTGGGGAAATGTTTATTTTTAAATCGTCCGCATTGTGTCCGTGCGCTCCCACCTCCACAGTCAAGGCAGAGAGATGCTGAGGAGGAGACCTTTTAAAATGGCAGCGATGTGTGGGCTCAGCTGGTCCGGTTAGCATCTGCACTTCCTCTCTGGGGTCAAAGGTCAAAAGGTCTGACGCAGGCCAACTTTCTGCCTTTGCTCCAAGCGTCTCCCGTGCTCTCTCCAAGCCACTTGTAGCTTGTGTTGTTTAAAATGCTAAAGTTCAGATGTGGTTTTACATTTTAAAATAGTGAAATGGGTGAATCTGAGTCTTATTTAACCAGGCCATCTGTGATTCTCTGAGTACTTACAGGGCAAAGAGATGTGAGTCTTGTTTATTTTGGTTCAAGTAGATATTAGAGTCAGTTGGCACTTTTATACATGGGCACCCACTAATCAGTTAATCAATGGGTTGTGTTGTTCTGTATAACTGGAACTGCTGTATATAGGACAAGTTAAAATGCCTAACATTTTCTTGACCATTTTTGTCTTTATTACACTGAAAACATGCGTCCTCACTCTGAGGCTGACTCTTATTTGGCCTGGAGGAGGGCCTCTTCCAGCTTGTTTACATGGAAATGTTGTTCCCTTAGCTATAATATTCCACAGTATATCACTTGTATATGTCCATGGAGAATATTTCGATGGGTTTAGCTTTCTGTTTCCATGGAATCATGCAGATGACTTTCTATCTCCAGAAAGTTACAAATGATCACTTAAATGTTAGTCTGGCCTTTTTGCATTTTTTTCTTTGTCATAATCTGCACTGGCGTGAACAGTCAGAGGAAGGATTCAATTATTCACATCTGAGCTGATCTGTTTACATTTCAAAATTCTCATTAGTTTTGAACTCCAGAAATCAGATAATGATCCGATTTTTTGCGTGCACTGTGCATGTAAGCATAGCCAGAGTATTTATACAAATAACTTTAGAAAATATGATCTGAGGAGAATTAAATCAAGAAAAATGTTTTAAGTTTTATTCAAAATAGCACAGAGTTCTCTTTCTTTGAATGAAATGTTAATTAAGTAAATTTTTATGTGAATCTCATTTATCTTGCATTACATTGTACATTGGCTAATTCATTTATTAACTCATGTTTAATTAGGCAGAAAAGTTGTAGTGTCCCTTTCAAATGAACTAATGCTGTTTCTAATGTGAATTCACAACCTCTTAAATGAACCTGAACGTCTCATAGAAAACTGTAGCTAAAGCATTAACAGGGACAAAACAACCAACAAATGTAATTTTGTTAGTTGATTATCCGAAATGTATTTTCTGTTGCTAAAGTAACCAAGTTTCGTTGTAGTTTACATGTGTTAATTATCACATCTGTTACAGGAATAGCTTAAACTTAAAGCTATATTAAAGTATCACATAACATGATTAAACTGAAGCAATAGACTGACAGCACATTGCATTATCGAGGTGTGAACTGCTGTTGTTGTTCCTGTCAAACTGTGTCATTTATATGCATTGTAAAACACTGGTTATAATCACACCTCAAGTCAATAATGCAAATGTCTACTTGCATGTAGGCACACAATGTTAAACCAGGAGCCAGAAATTGAATAAGGGCTCGAATGGGGAAGCATGTTGTTTTCCTATGTATTGGTGGTTGTAAAGAGGGAGAGATGGACAGACTGAGGAGGGTGATGGTTCTACTGCTGCTGTGGTGATTGGAGAAGTTTATTGAAGTTATGAATGAGTTACCACAGTTTGATTCGTTGAGTTCAAAAAGGTGTCAGATTGTGATTGGCTGACTGTGACATGAAGTAGGACCTATAGAAAAAAAATTTAACTTCCTGATTGATTTCACAATTGCAAATCAAATCATTCTTGACTTGTATTGTTTTGATTGTATTTTTGGACATAAATATATCAAAAACAACACTTATAAATCCTCTTTTGAATTATATGGCTGTTCTGCCCTATAAAACCTAGAACAAAGCTACTTAGACTTAGACTTTATTGATCCACAAGGGAAATGAATTGGACACAGCAGTTCACACATCCCAATATATTACAATAACAAGAGTAAAACAAATGGTAATAATACGTCTAAATAAGCGGTAATAAAAAATAGCAAAAGACTGATGTCAATAGACCAAAATATCCATGGAAATGTCTCACCAGTCTTCGCCAGCTTGTCAAATCTACTTGTCAAATCTTTTAATTGAAACATGAGTCACAAAACATCACTAATAATTGATAACAAGTCTACTACTCCTACAAATTAACTTTTGATAGGACATTAATGTTTCAATTTATCACAGTTTAAATAATGATAAGTTATATGGGATTTTTTTTTTTTTTTATAGTCACGCAGTCCTAACTCACATCTAATCACACTAAAACATCTCGCAACTTCAAACATGTTAATATGACAGTGGGTGCACACTTTTACCTTCAGATTTCCAATAAAACACACATAACACAGTATCAGTAGTACAGCGTCAGTGGAGACGCATTACTTCAGGATAACAACTACACATAAACCACAGTTAAAGGTCAGTTGATAATCCATTTGGTGAAAAGACATTTGTGTTTTTCAGCTTAGAAACCTGTCGAACAGTAAGAGAGCTGCTCACCCGTAATCCCTCGCTGACATTCATAGAGTCTTTCAGCGCGTTAATAGGAAAATAATCCTCAACACGTTTTATTTATAGAAACAAACACACATTTATCAGCCTGTGTTGAAGGATTGTAAGCAGGATTTTGCTCTAAATGATAGCAATGTTTTTATCCAAAGAAACCCGGTTCTATTTGGTCTTTTGAATCTTAAGTTAAATGTGCTATATCTACTTCATATAGTTTAGTTCTATACTTATCATAATATATTTACAGCGATATTTGCTTAGGCCTATTATAGCACTTGTACATTTTTTTCAAAATGTATCAAATATTCTACTATCTGTCTTTTGCCTCCTTATAATTTCAAACTACTGTATAATTTTAGCAATATATTCTCAGCACCTACATACTACATACATTCATAATCCTCTTAATCCTCAGTATGCAAAAAAGAGACACAGAAATCTTCAGCTACCCCATATTTCTAACAGACAAGTATGAAATGACTGCAAAATTACCCACAAGTGTTTTGAAAGTGTACCTTGTTAGTTAGTTTTTGTTTACAGAGTTTCTACTTTTTTAATTTGTATTTTTAAAGTGTACACCCAATATTCAAATTTTGCATGTCTTCACGAATAATAAAGTTCTTTAACAGCTCACTGTCTTTGAATATTGCAGTTTTCCTTCTTCTATGCCTCATTTCTTTCAGTCCATTCATTTCTGTTCGGTTGTGGTGACAGATGAGATGCACAGTTGGAGTAATGAATTGTGCCATTGTTTTGTTGCAGAGACGGTCCGAGCGATGACCCATGTGATAAATCAAGGCATGGCTATGTACTGGGGCACGTCTCGCTGGAGCCCCATGGAGATAATGGTAAGACTCATGTTTTTCAGATATATACTGTGTACGTTATAGTCCAGATAGGCTACATGGGTTTATCTGCCGTACTATACTAACGTCACATGGACATGGTTGTTATGGGGAAAGAAATGTGTATTGAAGTAAAAAACAAATCATAAATTATATAGAAAATATGAATCTTAAAAAAGAAAAAGTAAGCTTACAGTTGGACTTGGACACGTCACTCCCAATTAGCTGCAGGACATATCACTTTTATAATTAAAGAGGGGCAAAATCAACTTTACTCCCTCATCAAAAACATGCCTGCAGTGGTTTTCTATGTCATCCATACATCTTTGAATAATCTTGCACTCTCAGCCTACAAGCCTATCCAATCCAACTTTATTTGTATAGCACATTTTACAAACAGCACAGTTTCCAAAGTGCTTCGCAAAACATTTTACTTTAAAAAGAAAAAATCAGCAGAATTATGTTTAATAAGGACAGGAATAGAATAAATAAATGAAATAATAATAATAAAATCAGTGAAAAAAATAAATAAAATCAATTCATAAAAAGTATTAAAAAATAAAATGGATAAAAACTATAAATAAATAAATAATAATACAATATATAAATAAATAATACATCATCCATGGTCCCGTACAGCTATTTTTCATAAACATGCAAGAGCAGGATACAAAATAATAAGGTACAACTTCACAAACCTGATGCGATGTGCACTAGTTTCATTAGTGAAATGGATACTGATTATGTTGTGATAGTGCTCTGAAGGGGGAGTGACTTGACGCAGAGAGCAAAGAGAAGGGGAACTCAGTGTCAAAAACTAAACCGAAAATAATTAATGCTGTTTTATTTTTAATACATTTTTGGCGAATATAGCATTTTCCATCTGATAAAAGGTAACATGGTGATCTAAAAATGTTATGTGGAAACAATTAACGCCCTATAGACTTGTAATACCCCCTCTGTGTCAGTATCTTTACCAGTATCGCTTACTTGCTAAATTTGACTCTTATCTTCTCTATTGCACATTATTGTCCTGTATATCTGGTGCGGATAATGACCCAGGCTTCACTTTGGCTTTTCCCATTATGTTTTTAGGAAGCTTATTCCGTGGCGCGGCAGTTCAACCAGATCCCTCCCATCTGCGAACAGGCTGAGTATCACATGTTCCAGAGAGAGAAGGTGGAGGTGCAGCTACCGGAGCTCTTCCACAAGATCGGTGAGGCCTGACACAAGCCCTCAGTGGATAATGGTTTGGAGGCAAGAGCTATTACTGCCCCACCTGGACTCAGACCAGTACATAAAAATGATTTTGTTGGGGCACTAAAGCCAGAGGAAGGGTTTAGCCTTGTGCTGTGCGCCTCAGAGATAAATTTACACTGACATTTCTAGCTTAGCTCAGATAGCTTCTAGAAGATATTAAATGTGCAGCTAGGTTGGTTGAAGTGTATTAACATTTCAATGAAAAAAGGGGAAAGTGACATTTGCAAAAGTAAGAGTTTACGAAAGGGCAGAAAAATCATTTAAAACCTTCTTCATGCCATTTCTATTTTATCTTAATTCTTAATAGCTTCATATAGTCTTCAACATATGTGACTGTGACTTATTTTTGAAAGCTCATACTTCGCTGTGATTGGTTAAATTTGCCTGTCACTCAGAGTATGACAGAGGCTGACTAATAGAAGTGGGTGGGAAAATTATAGATGGTATGTTGCTAAAAGCTGCATTAAATCTGTCATTTTTTAATGCAAGTTTTAAGTTTTTAATGCAACACACAACATATTATCAACATGAAATTTTTTATACTTAATAATTATGTTTTTTCAATGCAATAAACCATTCAAAGTAGAAAAAAAAAAGTTATTTTGTGTAGAATGTTCTCAGTGGAGATTAAGTAACTGGCCACCGCCCTCTCTCTTCTTTCTACACTATAACCCCCCTCCATCTTTTTACATTTATGTTCAGGGGTGGGAGCCATGACCTGGTCTCCTCTGGCGTGTGGAATCATCTCAGGGAAATACGACGGCAGGGTCCCTCCGTACTCTCGAGCATCTCTGAAGGTACAGCCTGGACCCACTCACCCCCAGTCTGTGTAAAACTCCTCTGGTTCCCTGTCACTCTCATCTGGGCTGAACAATCACCAAAATCAAATCAAAATCACACTTTCAATGGCTGCAATTAGCAAATCTCAAGGTCTGTAATTATTTGGGTAATGACCTGCGCAGAGAAAACAATATCTCTGTATGGGGCTGTATTATGTAAAAGAAAATGTGCTAATCTTGTAGTTTAGACCACTACAAACTTTTTGAAATACATGTAATTATTGTAGGAGTTTAGTGATTAATATTTCTCTCAAATGTTAATGCTACTTACTAGACTGGTTTGAAATATGCACTGTGAACTCAATCTTGATTTTGGAAAATACATTTGGCAAATCTAATGATAAATCTGAAAAATTAGACAAAATTCTTACAGAATTGTTCAGCCCTACCTGCCACTGTTTGCTGTGGATTTTGTGTTTGTGTTGATGGTCTGTTTGTATCTTTCAGGTTTGCTCCCAAGTCTGTGCTCCGTCACTTTATGTTGTATATCATAAATGTTTTGAACTCTTCACAACTACATCATTGGTCTTGTGTTAATCAGATATAGACACTTGTCACTGTAATCATTAGGCAACAGCATAACACAGACCATAATAATCCAGTCTGAACTGAACACACATTTGAATGTAGTCTTGCAGGAGATAAGGTATGTTCTATCTATCCTATACCTTAATTCACTTTTAACTATTTCAGTTATTATTTTTATTTTATACAAATAATTTTTACTCATACACGATTTGCACAATTGTTCACTATGTATCACAATCACTAGTTGTAATACTGTATTACCATAAAAATCTATTCAGTGGATACAAATTTTATAACAGTTCTACAGTTTTACAAATCTATTATCCACAAATGTAAGATTGAAATGACAAGAGCAGGGTTAGTTTGAACAAAAATAACTTGGTGACAATATTTTATTAGTCCTTTTAAACTAATCAAAGCATGTTTTGTGGATATCAGGTCACGCTCACTGGTTTGTTGTGTTTCTGTGGTGAACTGGCATGTCTGTAGTTGTTTGTGGAGCAACCGATTGTTGTTTTGGCACTTCCTGGTTCATGACCCTTGTTCCCATCTTGATGTTTCGACCTTTGAACTCTCGTGCTGTGCTTGCCCTGTGGTTTGGTGTTGCCTGTTGTTGTTGTGGTGTTTTCACGAAATAATTGTCACAGACTGTATTATGACATTGTGACTCTGGAGTCTAGTGTTTTTGTATTGAATAGCATTATCATGACTGGAGTGATTGTGGAATACTATTGGGCCAAAAAGATCATCTACTGTAACGATTGGTGCAATATTAGACTTATAAATTGGTTTTAACAGAAAGATCAAGAGAAGAGTAAAATTATTTTTTTTTTAAAAACAAAAAAACAAGCAAACAAAAAAAACAACTATATGGCTGCAAAAAATCTAACTTGAAGAGGGCCAAGCTCTAAAACTTTGATGGAGACTACAGACAAGAATTATTAGTGTAGTGGACACATTTAACTGAAAGATAATTCTTATATGACAGAGATACAGTAGGACAAAGACACAGTTTAGACTAGAGCAATATTTTACAGAGCTTAGTTTTGCAGAGTTATTTCAGAGGACAGGTTGAAGGACGGCCCCTGCTGGCACAGAGCTGCACTGCGGCTGACACTGGGGGTTATAGCAGGTGTGCTGTGTGTCCGACAGGGCTACCAGTGGTTGAAGGACAAGATCCTGAGTGAGGAAGGCCGGCGTCAGCAGGCGAAGTTGAAAGAGCTGCAGGCAATCGCGGAGCGGCTGGGCTGCACACTGCCCCAACTGGCCATCGGTACGCAGACTCTGCTGCTCTCTCTGTTTCTTCTGTCTGTCCGTGCCTCTGCCTCGAGTCAGCCGGTCCACAGGGGGGGCGCTCTGTTTTGTGTGGTCTGTCTGGAGTGTGATTTCCATTTGTGGTGATAACAATGATAATTTATCTCTTCATAGTGGAGTGGTTTGTTGGTTTGTGTTTGAGTGAAACTGTTTATCATCTAAGAACACAATTCCATAATTCTTACTATAATGATAATGACGACCGGATTCTCAAGGATTTGAATGCATACCAGCAAGCTTTGGCCAGTGAAAGTAGAGTCTCTGTTATGACTGGTGCTAGTGTTTATAACCTTATGCTACAATTCAACTGGAAATCTGTGTCAAAAATGGCAGGAAAATGTCAAATTCCCAAGGATTTTAATGCCTATTAATGAGCGTACCAGCACACTTTAGCCTGTCTTTTAGGCAGGGTAACAAGAAGAGATGGTATCTTGTTGTTAGTGAACATAATGCATTGTTATTGATTTATTTACTTTGTTTCACTCATTTTAATTTATGTGTGTTTAATTTACTTTAACATGCTTACATTGATCACACAATTTTCCACACACCATAGTAGAATTTGGGCATGCCACTGTTTAAATGACATTACCAGTAGGCGGTTGATCTACATGTCTTGTCAGTGTCAACATTCAATCAATGAAAGTCGAAAATTACTCAAACTGTCTATTCCAGATCTGGCTACAACGGCTTACACCAAGAAACTAAGCAATAAAGAAAAAAACATCAATGGAGGGATTAGGGGGAGTGGTTTACTGGTATCGCGACTTTATATATAACGTGCATTACCACATGAATGTATTAATACTATTGAATGCATAATACCAAATGCATACATCTTATTGTATTTACAGTGCAGTTTATCCTCTGCTGTGGTGTTAACATGCTCTTAACAGTTGCCAATGTCAGCATAAAAACACAATGAGCTACATAAATCCAGTGCTAGTCGATGCAGGCGGGAAAGTGAAATTGTCGAGGTCCCAAAGACGCAGTGACCTGGGAGGGATGTAAAAGAGTCAATCTCCGGGAATAAATCATGGAGTTTGCTATGTCTAAATGGTCTGGTTTAGATCGTGTTTAGTCCTGGTCCTGGTTAAGTCCTGTTTTCTCAATATATATTTCTGGACGCCATAGAGCATTCAGACTCAGAACTGTAGATACATTTGCAATTCTTGCTTTAGTTTCCTTTTAGTCTTTAGTTTAGTTTCTGTCACATTCTCATAAATCTTAGCTCGACCGGTTTTAGTCCTGGTGTGGTTATGGAGTTATTTATTGCACTAGTTTAGTCCTAGTGTAGATCTGATTTAGAGCCTACCTTGGACCTTGTACTCATTTAGTCCCATATTATTGTTTGACTGTTTGATAGTTCTGTTCATTGGTGGTCGTTTAGGATTGTGGATTATGTGATTGTGCATATTTTGAAACTATAGTTGCAATTAGTGTAAGATTAGTACTTGCTTTAGGCCTTCAAATTAGGTTTTAGTTTTTACTTTAACCTGGTTTAGATTCTGATATAGACTTAGATCTGGTTTTGAGCCTAAGAACTGGTTTAATCCCTATTTGGACATCGTTTAGTCCTTAAATCTTATCCAGTCCTGTTTTGGTCATTTGTATAGTAATAGTTCAGTTGTGGTTTTGACCTGGTTTAGACCTAGTCCTGGTTTTGTTCTTTTTTAAGCACTGGTTTAGTCCAAGCATTTTAATCTGATATCTGAGTTCTGGTCTAGTCCTTGCTTTGTTTTTTTTTAGTCCTTCTGATTTAGACCTTAGTTTAGTTCTTTTTTTTACCCCAGTTTGGTCCCTGCAGAGTTAAATATACTATCAGACTGTGGACTCCTCTCCTTCAGTATTGCAGCGTCATAGATTAGGTTTCATGGACCATTAGTGGACGCCCTCATCTCTCCCAATTACCATAAATCCCCCAGTGCTCCTATAGGCTGTGGGCTAGATTTATGGAGCCAGCGCAGGGCCCTACATCACAGTGACAGCCTCAAATAAACATTACACATGGGACACACACCTTAGTCCCAGTTTAGTCCTGGTTCAGTTCTGGTTTAAGACTGGTCTTAAGTCTTGTTTTTGACCTAGTCTAGATTTATAAGGTCAGGATGTGTCTATACATCACTGTGACAGCTACGATAATGTTACAAAATAGTCCTGGTTTAGGTCCAGTTCTGCTCTGGTTTAAGACTTAGTCTTAAGTCTTAGTCCAACTCTAGATTTATGGAGCCAGCGCAGGATCCTACATCAACTGTGGCAGCCTCAAATAAACACCGCATAAGGGTGGCACATCTAGTCCTGGTTGGGTGCCGGTTTAGTTCTGGTTCAGTTCTGTCTCAATTAAACCTGGTTTATTCTTAGCCTAGATTTAGTTTACAGTAGTCCTAGTCTATAAAGTCATCATCTCTGCATCAGTGTGACAGCCTCAAATAAACAGTAGAGAAGAAGGGACACCTCTAGTCCTCGCATAGGTCTTAGTAAAAGTTTAGTCCTAGTGCTAGATTTATTAGGTCAGTACAAGTATATCTACATCACTTGTTCTGTACAGTCTCAAGTTTGTTCCTGGTCTGGTTTAGACCTGAATTAAATTTAGCTCAGTCCTGGGTTTTGTCCTGGGTTTTGTTCTGATTTAGGGCTGGTGTAGAAAGTTTTGTTTACCAGAGATTTTCTGTACTTGTTTAGAGCTATTTAGCCCCCATTTAGTTCCAGTCATCACGGCTAACAAAAGACTTGTTTCCGTCATTCTTATCTGGTTTACTCAAGTGTGAGTACATTTACAAGTTCCAAAAGCTTTAACAATGGCTCCTTCCACAGCGAGAGAGAAAATGCCCAAAACGCACCCAAAATGAGCTGCAGAATGAAAGGCCAAGAAGAGCATCTGGGTTACAACCTTTGCCAATTCAGTATATGCAAATCCCAGCTCAGTTAGAGACAGATGATTTCCTCTGGCAACCCTAAGGGGAAAAGCTGACAGCAATATAAAACAAAATGTATGCCATGTACTTCTGCCATTTACAAAACCAGTATTTGCATGGTTAGTTTAATATTTGATTCAATAACTTTTATATTACTAAACTAAAACTAAATAATAAAGGTACAGAATAAAGGTACAGTCCAGTGGCCTTAACTCTGTTGTTTATGTTTTTTAAAGGTACACTATTTTCTGGTGGAGTGTCTGTCTTCCTGTCTCTGCTATTAGATTTTATTGATTTGCCTGGAAAGTTTCACAGTATGGAATTGCACTTTTACTGAGTTAGTGATGCCACTAGATCAAGTTACAGAACAAATATGTTTAGAGGCAGTGTTGTGCATGAACGAGTTCAAAAGAACGCGTTCATTGAACACGTTCATTTTTCAGTAAACTTTGAACTGAACGCAACACTTTTGTAAATCAAGAACCTGAACGTGAATTTGTTCAAATTATGTGTGATGAACGACGTACGTCACTGTTGGGGTTCAGTTAAACGTCGGAATTTGTTTTCACCTGACGAGTGACGATCTGCTCGCACTTAACGAAACCACAGCCGCGTGTCAACGCGAAGGCGACTCCACCGGCAGCTTTAGCGGAACGTACGGGCTCTTGTGTCTCTCAATGGGAAAGTCAATCAAACTTGACTGGGCGCGTTTAGCTGCTTGTATTTACCTTCTGTACAGGCTGACCACGGCAAACGCAAGGATTTCAAAAGTAAATTTCAAAGCACTAATTAACAGTGTATGTGGATCTGGGCTCTTTCACATGATACACAACTGCCCAGGGAGCACAATGTGCTGATGGTAAATGCACAAATACAACAATAGATACATGCTCTCTGTGTATTTTGACGGGGATACGCGCCTACGCTCGTGTAGAGCATCAAAAAATAGGATGGATCCTATTTTCTGAAATCTACACACACAGGACGTGCTGCTCCTGCGCGCGCATTATTTTACTTGGTACATATGTCAGTAACGCGCGTCACAATGCTTTTTTAACCTGGATTGAAATGGTGGGTTTTTCGTTTTTTCTTCACAAATTTGCTAAAATCACCGCGATATCAGCAGCGGTGAAACGCCGGAGGTGCGCCCGCGTAGACCGTCAGGTGATCCTGAGCGAAAGGACCGACGCAGAAGTCCGCGCTCCACCGAGATAAACGCAGCTGACGCCCGATCGCACTCGGGGTTCTCTCAGGGGCGGTCCTAGATTCCAAGTTCTAGTCCAGGATTAGTCCTGGTTTGGTCCTGGTTTAGTCTTGGTTTAGACCTGGTTTAGTCCTGGTTCAGTTCTGGTTTAGACCTGGTTCAATTCTGGTTCAGTCCTGGTTTAGTCTTGGTTTATTCCTGATTTAGACCTGGTTCAGTCCCGGTTCTGTTCTGGTTTAGTCCTGGTTAGTCCTGGTTCACAGTTCTGGTTTATTCCTGGTTCAATTCTGGTTTAGACCTGGTTCATTCCTGATTTAGACCTGGTTTAGACCTGGTTTAGTCCTGGTTTAGACCTGGTTCAGTTCTGGTTTAGACCTGGTTTAGTCCTGGTTTGGACCTGGTTCAGTTCTGGTTCAGTCCTGGTTTAGACCTGGTTCAGTTCTGGTTTAGACCTGGTTTAGTCTGGTTCAGTCCTGGTTTAGACCTGGTTCAGTTCTGGTTTAGACTGGTTTAGTCCTGGTTTAGTCTGGTTCAGTCCATATACGGCGCAAAAGTTCAGCATCTTAACAGTTCTTTTGGATGAGAGTAAATTAAAAGTGCTGCAATAGTCGTGTAATGTTTTACATTTTAAATACAGTAATATTGTAATGTAACAAATGACTTTGAAATGACAGTAACAAGTCATAAATAACACATTACAGTTTTAAAGTCACTTGTCCAACAGTCAACATCTTGTAAAGTTGTTGTAAACTAGAAGTCAGTTTGAAAAATAAAAGCAGCCTTTCATTTACAGATCTCATCTAAATATAAAATGAACTGAACTTTGAACTAGTTCAAAATTAAAATTGTGAACTATGAACGTGAACTATTCACTTTGAACAAGTGTGAACTGGACTTTGAACTAGTTGAAGAAAAGTGTGAACTTGCACAACACTGTTTAAAGGTGAGCCCAGTAAGAATTCCTTTATTCCAAGACCTGCAATTCATTCAGTTTAACATATGTATATTTAATGCCATAGTGTGGAACATTCCAGGCAAAGCAATAACATCTCCATGAGACAAGAAAAGAAAAAAGGTAGTGCAATGGATGAAGAAATTGGGCATACACGGAATATGCTTTATGTGAAAATGAGAATATTTGTTTAGCCTGAGCACAGACAGGAGCAGGTGACACAATTTGCTCTGTGTCTCGAGGGGAATTTAGTGTATTTTCTTGTTTCAAATATTCAGTTGTGACATGTGCCAGGTCCTAATCCCACTATGTTCACAGCTGTGTGGTGCATCCTTTTCTACAGTAATCTGCTTACAAGTGCATTTTCCCAAACACTGTTGCATAATGAAGCCAACTATAAAGGAACACCAAGCAGATTTGTGCTTTTTTAGGCAGCTGTGGGCTTCTTGTTTATTATTAGTAAAGTCCAGAAGAGGATAATAGAGTGATTCAAACGAACTGCTTAAAGCTATGTTACCTGAAATGCTCTCTTCATCACACCAACATCAAGCTATGTCAGCTTTTATCAAGCACCACAAAGAATTACTCATACGCAGCTAGATATGTGTAGAATAGAAGCAACTGCAGAAGATTCAATACATAACCAAATCTCTTTTTATCTGTTTTACATGTTTATTGCACAAAAACTATAACTTACTTGTACATGTATCTGAAATGATCAAATATACCTTTTGTATACCTCTCTGGTATACAAAAGGTGGTTTTATTTCACTTAAGTCTGACTGACCTTTATATTTTCTTTGTTTGATTGTTTGTTTGATTATTTTAAAGGTGCACCTTGTAACTTTTCTGGTATGGGGCATTCCACCTGCTTGTACTCATGGAGATGTCTTGGCTTTGACTGGAATTTTCCTTGGTTTGGAATTAAACATACGCCATACTATGGACTCCAGACAAAGATCTCCATGGAGACAAGCAGGTGGCCGACCCTCCACCAGAAAAGTTATGTAGTGCACCTTTAATACCACTATTCATTTGTGTTTTATCAGGAGCTTGCTGGTATGCACGTTACATTTTTAAATCCTTTTGGTTGTGTTCTTATGGTCTATTTTTCAACATACAGTATATTTTATTAGATGATACAACAATTTTACAGAACTTCACAAATGACTCCCAAACTTTCTGACTTTTACCACCTCCACCTCTGTAGCCTACGTCCCACTGGGGTTTACACTTTCCAGCCTGCTAGTTTTCTCTACTGGTTTGTCCTACGGAGCCCAAAGTGGGTCATATTTCAAACCAGTGCTTTTTTGTCACTCGCAGTAGCTCTCTGTAATAAAACTCCCTCATCTGCGCGCTTCCCTTCTTCCGATTATATTTGTCGCAATTTCCCAGTCTGCGTTGCGCCTTCACGTTTGCTTTATTGCCGTTTCTTTTCTCATTAAAGACGTCAATACTTCTTCTTCCGCTGCTGAGACGTAGTGTAGTGGGCTGTTTTAATTTAGTCATATATTTCACACAGGGGCAGTTGACGGTAGAGGAGAGGAGGAGATACTGTATATCGGAAAATAGATAATACTGCAATTGTTGTTTTGTAGATATGCTAAATTAGTATTTGAGTAGTATATTGTCAGTAAATAAAACCTCGAAAAACAACGTGTAATATTGTGCATTAAGTTAGATTTCTCACTATTGTGGGTGCTGCAAAACACGGAAAACAGAACTAGTTTGTTTTAAACAGCTTGCTTTTGTTATTCCTCATTTGCCTTATGCATTCAGAGCATCCTAATTAATCACTGTGAGTTTGCTTCGTACTTTTCTCACAACCAGAGCAGAGTTTTGCTGTCACGGTAAAACTAACAACAGATCTCAAGAGCTGCTTTTGCATTCTACCTATACTGGAGCAAAATTAATGTTGCTCAGTTACATGAAAAACAGAAAAACAGGTAGGGACTTTATTAATTCTATGATCCATTTATGTTTTGTGCTAGACCTGAACCTCAGCCAGGCACATTTTAGCACATTCTTAAGGCATAGTTAAAATATCATCTGAATATCATTTGAGATAATAAAAAAAAGAGAAATGTATTTATGTCAGTATTGCTCAGCTCTGCAGTAGTCCCAGTGTAATTGTGTGTATGTGTGTTTGATTGTTGTATTGATCTGTGCAGCGTGGTGCCTACGTAACGAGGGGGTGAGCTCTGTGCTTTTAGGAGCCTCCAACACGGACCAGCTCATGGAGAACATAGGGGCGATACAGGTGAGTCTGATCTTAGCTCAAAGGACTACAAGCATATTAAAGTGCATTTGACAGGCCAGACTACTCTTTTCAGTAAAATGTAGTTTTACATCATTATATTTATGATTATACTAACAACTGTGCCTATTTTATTGTTTCTTATTTTGGTAAAGTTTATCATTTTACCCATTAAGAGGAGGTGGCACTATTAAATCAAAATGTTAGAAAAGTTTAAAAAAAAATAATAATAAAGAATACACTCTACTTTCAGTCACCATGTTGTAGCCTTCATTTGGTTAAAAATTGTCATTGTACAATATTGTGTACTACTAGTGGACTAATCAAAAAAGTTATCACTGCAGCCCTAAAGCCAACAGTTCATGTTACAGACTAGTGTGCAGTCAGTCAAATAAACTGCACTGTACCTAGGATGTACTTGAAAAAATATATATTTCAATAAAACATTTTAGTGATCACTGCCTTCATGGAAATGACAGCCTATAATTTTAAAATTACATTTTTTCTTCTTGGCATTTTGGAAATCCGCAGTATGATGTTCAGAGCCCTTACAAAATGATGACCTTTCAAATCATTCTTCTCTCGAAAAACTCAGGGCTGTGGAGTAGATGGGGAACTATCACAGTGTGCTTTTTAAAAGTACTAGTAGTACTAGTTCCCAAAGAATGAAGAGCGCTCTTTTGGAAGGACAGATTTAGTTGTGGATCACAGCCAAAGAATCACTACCCACTAGTGTAGCGCTACTCGGCTAGAAGCTTACATGAATGCAGAAAATAATGGACAAATAGCTCACTGCATTTTGTACTGTGGATGTACTTTGAAGAAGAAAATGTTCAGTGCAATTTTCAGTACAAAGAAGGGAATGTAAAAATAATAAATAATATATACTTATCTATTACTTATACTCTCTAGCCCATTTTCATTTCTTTTCAATGTAAGTCCGGTGAAAAATTCTCTTTGAAAACACGAGTCTTTCAAATGGTTTTCAAGCATCAAAGCAGCATCTTGACTAAATTGAATCACATGAACTTTTCAGTCATTATAATAAAATGATAATAGTTTAAAAGTGCAAAGTGCAAAATTAGCATCTAGACAAAAATTATACCATTATACCGCATGACCTTTCTGAATCTTTGTAATAAAAACACAATAGATTATTATTGCATGTTACCATAATATAATCAATAATAATATATAATGTCCTTCCAATTTGACCAGGAGGGTCCTTGTCTTTCCTGCCATGTCTTATGCCTCAAAGTAACATCTTGATACAAATAACTAACATAATATCTAGTCTTTACAATAGAATAACAAAACTATAGCCTGATATTACAAAAGTTTCCCATATCCACTGTCAATATGTATTAAATTATACCTGGATGACCTTTACCTCTCCTGCCCTGTGTTAAGCATCACAGAAGCATCTTGACTAAAATAATGAATACAAATACTATACTAACTTAAAGGGCCAATATTACACTATTTTCTGATCTATGTTATAATGTTGTTTCCTCATCACAAACATATCTGGAGTTGTGTTTTGTTTCATTTGCGCATGTTTAACACACAAATCTTGTATATTTAGGCCGAGTTCTTCTCTCAAACAGAAAACTTTGTGGACCACCTTGTGATGTCATGTGGTAATACAGGAACTGCACCAATGTATTTTGAAACACATACACCTTTACTAGAATCATTTGGATCATTTCAGCCCTTTAACTACTAACCTGAAACCTGATGTTCGTGACATCACAAGGTGGAACAGAGCATTTTGAGCTTTGGAGATGTAGATGAACTGATAATAAAGGGGCTACTTAAAGGTTGTATAGAGGATTTTCCAAGGAACGAGAAATCCAGCGACTGTTTGTCCTTTTTCAAATGTTGCGCATGCGTGAAACCACCCCCCCTCCCCTACAGCTCCTACGTAGAAACGCCTCCTCCCGCCTCCTCCTTTACGCCAGAAACAGGTTTGTTTACAGCCGGTGCGCTGCACATGACTTGTAAACAACTAACTACAGTGTTGGTTAGGCAAGGCGGAGAAGTGAGGAGCGGGGGGAGCGGGTGTGCGGACATTTCGTGCGCGGACGAGAAGTGAGGAGCAAAGAGAAGAGCGGAGCAGGGAGCAGGGAGAGGAGAGAGGAGAGGGGAGCGGTGCCCGGAGAAGTGAGGAGCAGGGAGAAGAGCGGATCGGGCAGCGGGGAGAGGAGCAGGAAAGGGGAGCAGAGAAGGTTGCGCGGAGATTCAGTGCGAATGAACTAGCTACAACACGCAGCAGCAAGCGGACTCTTTCTTTGCCTTGAAAATTACGTTTTCAGACATAGGATATCGCTTTCGTGTCCTGAAAAACGTTTGACTAGCTCTTGGAAATAAAGTACGTTTTCATAATAAGCAGAAGTGACCTGTCCAGGAGTAATTTGTGGACCAATGCGTCAGTCTTTAGACCTCTGCGTCTGCTTCAGTTGCGCCATTCGCTGGAATGAATCTTCAAGAATCACCTTAGTTTGGCTTCGCTGCTTTTCCCCTTGTCTTCTTCTTTCAGCGACCTCAAAAACGGACTTTCTTTTGCGGCTAACTGCTCCTGGATTCTTGTCGCCATTGCAACAAACTTTGTGCTAACTGCGAGGAAGATATAGGTCAAAAAAAGCCGCTAAGAACTGTTGCGTTGGTGGAGTAAACAGCGTCTGTGCGGCTTGCGTCTGTGGACTGCGTGACAGGCGTACGTAAACCACGTACCGGCGGCGCGCAGGCAAGTCAGTTACGCTAGAAACGTAGGGAGTTTGATTGACAGCCTGTCAGCTAACAGATAACGAGGCAGTGTCGTTATCTATTGGCAAATGTTTAGCCCCACCACGTCCAGAGTTGATGAATTTTTATTCTCTTTTTTTGGTCATCATAATTACAAGGCTACTGCACCTCTATAATGCTATCATTGACAATTTGAAACAAAAAAAATCCTCCATACAACCTTTAAACGTGTGAATGGCACAAACTCCAGAAACACTCCAAAACTCCAGGTATGTAGTTGATGACCTAACAACATTATAACATGGCTTAAAGCTCACAAGACTCAATACTGTGTAATATAGGACCTTTAATCTTACAAAGTATCTTTTCTGTTTTGCCAACATTTGCTGTAAGAAATATTTACCTGGAATACCCTGGTGTTTCCTGTTAAATTGTAGCAGCATCTCAGAGTGAGTGAGAACAACAGTGCCTCCTGAGTGCAGCCTGGTGGGCAGTCCTGGCCTGTCACGCCTGACTGCTCTACTGTACCCGTTAATAAGGTCAGAGAGTATGTGTCGCCAGGGGATACGAAGCTCGCACTTCCTCCTGATAAGAGCTCCTCCTCTAATGGGCTCTTCAGTGTTCAGTGTGCTGTTCACATTAGAAAACTGGCCCTGAGTAAAGGCCCCTCCGTGCTTTGTCTGGGCTTTTTGTAAGTTGTGTGCAGAGCACTACATAGCACATCTGTGCTTTAGCTTGGTGATATTTCATACACAAATGTCATGGTCGCATTTCCTAAGGGAGTTTTGCCTCAACAAAGACTTAAATAAGGTTAGTTACATCTTGTGAGACTTGTCCAGAGGACTCCATTTTTTTTTTATAAAGAAAGTATGAAGCCCTTTTAAAAGCAGGTATTTTTAAGTGCTGATTGAAGTTAATGCATTACAAAATTGATCTTTACTGTAAAAAGGACACAGTGATCAACAAACATTTCTCACAGAAATATTTCCTCAAAAACAAACAAATAATGTTTAGAGTTAACTGTCAGTGCAAATACATGTAACTTACTTGTGTCTCTCTGTCTCAGGTTCTTCCAAAGTTGTCATCGTCCATCACACATGAAATCGACAGCATCTTGGGGAACAAGCCGTACAGTAAAAAGGACTACCGCTCCTAACCCCACAGGCTCCGCCCGGCAGGGCTGCACCGGGCTGCACTGCAGCGCCCACCTTTGCCTGATCCTCTGTTTGCTTGAGCTTTTACTGAATGAGACCCTGGCGCATGAGTGTGGCACATGGGCCACCCAGGGCTCCTCATCTAGAGTTACAGGGAAAAGAAAAGAAAAGGGAAAATCATCACCTCCAGAAGGACACCAGACTGTGAGAGAGCTGCTAGTGAAACGCGCTCGTATTTAAATCAGTAACATTCAAAGTCAGCTGGAAGTATTAAAACTGTAGAGAAAATACATTTAAAAAAGAAGCACATGCTTGCTCGGCATTCAGATTTGTTTTTGCTTTTTATTTTGGAAAAAAAAAACAATGCAACTCAATGGAAGATTACTGTAGTTCATTCTGTATGAAATACAAGCGGTACTCAGTTGCACATGTACCAGAGCCATGCATTTGTTCCTGGGACGTTCTGTTTACAAACACCTGTGTACTGTAAGTCTCAGTCCAACTCTTTGTGTTGTCTCCATAGTCAGTGTAGGTGCCCCCTAGTGGGCCAACAGTCAGCACTTTAGTCTGTAGTGATTTGTTGAGGACAGAATTGATCGTTCAGTAGTATTAGATGGCAGCCATTGCACTAGAGGATCGCCTCCCGCTAAGCCCCTCCCCTTTGATGCCCATAACCCCGCCCACCCTGACTGTGCAATGGGTGATTCTGGTCTGCATAGGTCAGGACTGAGGCTGCTCCCTAAAACTGAACTTATACAAAGTTAAAGGGTCTTTAGGAGCAGAGTAATCGCTGCAAAACAACATATTTATTCATCCCTCTCCATAGAAGTGCTACACTGTGTATCTGCCTCTGCTTAGGTGTCCTCGAACACCACTTATCAGCGCAGGCTTCTACATCTCATGGACGATTTTTCTTGATCGACTTCTGTTCAAGTATTTTGCCTTATTTTCTTTTACGTCAGACTGTGCTGTGAGCTCCAGCGTAGACGGTCATCTTAGAGGTTCCTCTGTGCTCTGTCTCCCCAGTAGAAACAGGAACTAGTGCGATTGTTATTGTCCTGTAGGTGGCGCTGTTCTCGGCAGCAGCTCAGGGAATGAAACAGTTTGATCTAAAATGTTTCCGTATCACCTGGATCGTTCCTCGGATTGGAAAAAATATATTGTATTTTATATGCAAAACCAATAACTGATTTGTTGACCTTGCTCTATGATGCATTCAAGACAGTAAATCTAATATTATGCAAAAAAATCATTATTATTTACTTCAAAAATACTGGTATAAAACATGTGTTTATACTTTAGGTTATTGACAAATACAGTTTATCGATCTCAAATATCTATAATGATAATAATTACATTTTTCAGTTATATACAGTTGCAAGAGAAAAAATATCTTAACATTTAAAAAGTTTAAGTATATTTTTAGCTAACCCAATCTATTTTTTTTTTTTTATGTAATTCAAGCATTTCATAGTAATATCTTATCTTTACACTGGTTTTAGTTTGTATATTAATCTGAATGTTGTAAGACCTGTAAAGGAAGGATCCAGGTGCCATGGAAACGTGGTTAGTCTACTGTAGTGCATAGATGGTCCGGAGGTGGTGCTGACACTGGGGAGGACCTGTGAAACTTTAGTGAGGCTCGAGCCAAAGATTTCTGAGTGTGTCTTCACTCACTTCTGCAAGGTTACATAATCTAACTCATCTTGGCGCATGTTCTGTCCAGCTCGCTATGTATCTACTGTATGGACTCCACGTATATCTTAACTTGATCATGCTGTTATACTATTAAAGATAAGGCCTCATATACACAATGCATAGTGCTGATAATTGCTTTAGGTTGATAAGGAGTGTCTCAGGCAGCGGGCAGCCTGGGACATACCACATGCGTCTTCAGTAAATGGGTTTACATGCACTGGTATTTTCTGGTTTGGACTAAGACTTAACTTGCTGGTCAGTCACTGTATAAGTCTGAGTTTTAATTCTTCAAACAGTTCAGCGTGAATCAAGTTTTATGTAAAGTTCTTCTTAAAGTAGCTTCTGTGTTTCCTAATTTCACCCTCAAATTTGTCTGCACTTCAATATTTTTATTCCCCACAAATTTCTGAATTAAAACATTTGGCTCAAACTGATGCCATGAAAATTTGCATATCAAAATTTCTAAAGTATCAAAAAATTGACTGAACTTTTTAAGCGTAACCCCAGTTTGTCCATTCCTGTCCTTTCAAATGTTTTATTTGATTTCTCAATCATTTTAAGATTAATGTTAGAAATTGGCTAAAGCTTTTCTTAAATAACTCTTTTTGTATACAGGACATATGAATACCTTTTGTATTGTTTTTGAACGCATGTTATTGCCCTTTCACCATTATCATAATTCTGTTCAAAACCAGATCATACTGTAATTTAAGTGCATGTAAACCTATTCAAACCTAACTGTGATCAAAGCACAAGCAGCATGTGACCATTCAAACGCATGGATCCTTTTCACTACAATACCCACAAGACAACGCTCCTCCGCTTACTAACACGTCCTTTAACCAGGCTTAAGTAACAGCTGCGAACTACAACAACAAGAAGAAAAAAAAAAGACAATTCAAGTGTTACTTTAGTGTGAATGGACTGCGTGAGCTAAGAATTATGGGAACTCAAAATGGACGTCACTGTGTGGGCTTTGTTCCTCTCGTGGTCCAACTTTTCCTGGTGATTTTAAAGCAACCGCCAAGTGATCCGTGTTGTGTGTGCGTAACTGCTTAGGTCAATGTATTAGTTAATTCTCGTGTACCTTTTCAGTTTCTTTTTTGCAGTGTCTTTTACGTCTGGGTGATAAAAGTGTGCAAGCCAATGATGTTTTTCTTGTAAGAAGAAAAAACTCTGAAAACATGTTAAGTCTGTTCAGTTTGTGTGTCTTAATATTCTCATCAGGGACAGTAGAGAAAAAGTCACTTAACTCGAGACTTAAAAGTATCGCTGTGCATTTTGCTCGACCATCAGTGTTATCTCGCGGCTGATGTCTGAATGTACGGGCCAGAGGGACAAGTCTGCTGTGAAGATGATACAAATAGCAATGATCTTTTAAACTGTAGCTAAACTAAACAACACCTCTATAGTTTCTCTAACTATAACCAAATAATATTACGTAAAAGAAGTTAAAAAAAAAAAAAAAATGTGGTCAGTGAAATTACTCTAGAAGCTGTGGAAACTTTCACTTTGTTAAGAGTAACTGACTCTAGACATAACATTTGGTTTAAAATGTGTCATTTGGAAAGACAAAACATTAAATAATGCACTCAATCTGTTATTTTGAAAGACTAGATCACAAAGATTGACTCGTTTAATAAAAAAATTATTGTATTTAAAAGAGTGATGCTAGAAACCCAAAATAATACATTTTGTCGACATAAAGGTTTTGTCACTCAAATAAGAGAAATGTTTGAGTCTCTACAAAGTATTCTGTAAAGTACCTAATGTCCATGTTGTAACTATTACCCAAATGCAGTTGTGTTGAATGCTGTGCTAAAGAAGCACGGCAGTCTCTTCAATCAAGTGTTAGTCAATTGATTTTATATAATTGGCAATGAAATATTAGGCAAAATCAACCAGCAGCCAGTCCCATGTGAAAGTCTGAGCCTTCTCATCTTTCACAACAAACTGTCCTTTTGACCTGTACATTCTTCACATGAGCCGCTCTCTCACACTGTGCTAGCCTGACTATGCTATTGGGAGGTTAACACACAATGTAAACCAATGATGACAGGCTTCATCATAATAAAAGACTGAATATTAGAGTTATAAAAATATGCTTTAAGAGGTCTTAGTTTCATCTTTATTATTGAGTTTTGGAGTGAAACTGACCCATAGAGGGATAGAGCTTATTTTCCAGAAGGATCTACATTTAAAAAAAAGAGTATATTTTTATGTTTTGCAGTACAGAAAATATCTGTTTTTATTTTTTCGTCATGCATTTTTCCTATCAGTATTGTAAAATTCTTAAGACAGACTAAAGAACTATTACTTTGTGTTACGTATGGGAAAGGTTGTAGTGAATGCAGTTGCAGGCTAACTTCATCTTAACAGTCTGCCGTCTCTGTACATATCTTTGTAAATATTTCTGGTTGTGATCACCTCGGCCTTTTTTAATTTTCTTTTGCAGGCATTGCTATCTGCACTGTGCTTGGTCTGACTTTAGACAGGATGTACAGCTTCAAACTCCAAATGAAAAACTGAAAAAATTATAAAAATCAGAATGGTAAAACCTATTGTGTTTGTCTTTATTTTAATTATATTGTGGATTATTTCAGTGATATCTGGTGACTCATGCGAAGGGCATTTTAATCAATTCTGTGCTATAGTAGTTGACATATTAATCTACATCAGAATGTAACTCAAAATAAACATGGTACAAGTATCAACATATAAAGAATGAGCTGCGTTTTGCTGCAAATGGAAACATGCTTCCAACAAAATGAGACCTGGGCCCTTGTAGACAAACTAGGAAATAAATTAAGAACAAGACTTGTACTGTATATAAAAGGAAAAAAGAAAGATGGGATGAACACTGGCAATTTGTATAGAAGAGTGCTGCTTCTCCACAGATCAGACCTGTGATTTGCCCAGATGTATCACCTGCTTGTTACCATGGAAATAGTTTAATGCCATACTCTGGAACATTTCATGCAAAGTATCTCCATGGACAAGTAGATGGCAGACTCCACCAGAAAAGTTACATAGAGGATCTTTAACGTACCCAGTTCGCTCTGATGTGCCCAAATAATACACACATTTAAATCAACAATATGCCATTTTAATCTGTATTATAACATAAATAAAATCAATTTATACATTACTTTCAATGAAAAACATATACATTTGTGCTTTACTGACATTGTACAAATCATGTTTTAAGTAGCACCATTGGAGTCTGTGGATTGAACTTCAAAATAAAACAGAAACAATAATGTAGGAAATTAATGTGTTTGTGCTATTGCTTTAAGACAGTACAAAAATGTATAAAAGTACAAAACGTTTGACAAAAATAACGAAAAGTTTGTTGCACTCATTACATTACGAATACACATTATAATTCTCCAACATTTCCATTATGAACCAAGCTTGTTTGTAAGCACCAGAAGCCATTGCGCTGCAGATAATCCAGGAAAAACTTTGTGGCTTAAAGCAACTTTTAATTTGAAAGCTCTTTAGCTAGTGTATTCTTCTTTGTACAAAATTAAATAGTGCATACACTTATACCGGCCTGTTACAGACCCCTGGGTTGTACTTAAAAGTTCGTTCCACTTTTTAACAATCCAAAAATGTACCAGGCGATGGCAATGTCAGGCTGAAGTTTCATACAGAGTTCAAAAGCACTCAAGCTTTTCAAAGTGGAGGTTTTGTCTCATTTAGAGTCCAAATTCTTTTACCACAATGTATTCAAGCCGTTAACGCTGTCATGCTAGTCAGTGGGATGCATTCACTCACAAGATAAAAGCAGATCTTTGTCTGGCTTTTACGGGTGAATGTTGCTGCTATAATGAATTGTCTTGCTGTGACCCTCTCGAGTTGCCGTAGGTGAGACGGGGGGGACCATCTACAAAAGAAAATGAGTACAGAGATGACGCCAAAGATACAGCGGAGACTCTGTCAGCACTTACACCACAGACAGTATATTTACTTGTACATCTCCAGTCCTGACATCAGCAGAACTGTCACTTGTGTGAGGCCGTGTTGTGCTACACTGTGCACTAATTGGAAAAGGCAAGATGTTATCAGGCTCAGGTGTAGAAATACTCAGGTCTATTATAGAACCGGGATTATTACAGATTTAGAAGTGTGACAAAGTTAGTTCAGTTGTAGAGATCCAAACTTATTCCTCATTCCTTCCTCGTTCTTATTCCTGCTTTTCAATGCATTCTGAGTATCCTAATTATTCACTTCAAAGAGTTTATATGTGTGTGTGTTTCTGTTTGTTAGTTTTGTTTTTAAAGGGCCCATATTATGCTATTTTCTGATCTATGTTACAACGTTATTTGCTTATCACAAACATACCTGGAGTTGTGTTTCGTTTCATTCACATGTTTAACACGCAAACTCTTCTCTCAGACAGAAAACACTCTGTTCCACCTTGTGATGTCATGTGGCAAGGAAGTGATCCACTGTGTTTTTAAAGATGTAGAATTGTTTGGATATTTTCAGCCTTGGAATTGCCCATCTGTTCTGAGCTAAAATGACATCACTTCATGACATCACAAGGTGGAATACAGAATTTTTAACACAGACTTGACAGACAGATAAAGAGTTACTCGAACATGAGTTAAACACAAACATAACTCCAGGTATGTTTTAAATGAGGTAACAACATAACATGGCTTAAAGCTCACAAGAGTCAATTTTGCATAATATAGGACAGAGTGGAGTTTGATGATGACAGTAATGTTAACAACTAGCATGCTAACAGCACATCAGCATTACTTCCTGGTTTGTGGAGAAAAAACATGTTTTATAATAATTGTACAATTATAATTATAGATGCAGACAAAACACAACAATCTCATTTTGACCCTAAGAGCCAGAATGGGACAATAGACATTTTACTTTAAATGTAGTCCAGGATTAGTCCTGGTTCAGCCCTGTTTTGATCTGCTGGTTTAGTCTGTTTAAATCCCAGGTTAGTCCTCCTGGTTTAGGCCTAGTTTAGAACTGGTGAATTCCCTATTTAGTCTATTTACTCTATTTAGTCCTGGTTTAGTTCTCATTGTTTCCATACCATATTAAAGCAGCTCTGATGTCTGGCCCTTTGTCACCTCTTTAGTTCGGTCATGTGTACATGTGTATTTGTACTGTACCTTCTCGACAGGACGCCCCGATCCAGCCGTGGAGACAGCTGCAGCGGCCACTCCTCCGGTCACACTGAGCCCCATTCTCACACTCACACACCTCTGAACAGCCCGGGCCAAAGCTGTCTGCTCTGCACTCTAGAGCAAAACAAAACAAAAAAGGCATTTATCTCACAAGATATACCTTTTTTTTTGATGTTTTGTTTTGATGAACTACTTTGATAAACCCCTGGGTTGAAATGCACATGAGTGGTACAAATCTCTACTCTTGGGTTTGAGCTTCCCATAATAGGCAACATTTTGAGGACTTTTTTTCATTCAGAAGATAGAAGATTTTGTTGTAAATTATTAATTGCTGTGGCAACTATCCTAATTTTTCATCATTCTGAATCCTAATTATTTGTCTTTGTTACTAGACTCTTGAACTCACTATATTACAACAAAAATCTGCATATTGACTGTATTAATTTAGCAATCACCATCTGTATTTAATATTACTGGGCTGTAGAATCTTGTGATGTCATGTGAAACCCAGCAATTACAGCATCAAGTGTAGTTGTCAGCAGGGGGAGTAGTGTGAAACATCATGTTAAAGGTGATGGTAATTACCAGTGTCACATCTGGAGCCGGTCCATCCCGACGAACAGAGGCACCGCCCAGTCACATGATCACAGGGTCCCTCACAGTCACAGCGCCGTGAGCAGCCTTCACCAAACCAACCATGTTTACACGCTGAAGGGAGAACGACCAAGAATTAAACAGGAAGAAAAATTGGTGATGTTCTACAAAATTCAATTCAATTTATTTGTCCAAAATTACAAGAGCAGGCACTTCACAGGGCTTAATAAAACTGTTGATTCAACCAACAGATTACAGGATCAAAAATGAAACAGTGAAACAGCCATTGGTCAATAACTGACAAGCAAATTAACAGACAATCACAGAAAAAAAGCTTCCCTATGTAACTTTTCTGGTGAAGAATCCACAACCATTTTGTCTTCACAGAAATATTATTGCTTTCTATTACACTATGGCATTGGTAAATGGTAAATGGTTACATTTTTCTATAGGGCTTTTCCACCTTCAAGGCACTCAAAGCGCTTTACAACAAGGAACCACTCACCCATTCACACACACATTCACACACACATTCACACACCAGTGTACGCAGACACTGGCATTCAGTTTATCTCCTTGGAGACAAGCTACCTGGTCAAGTTACAGCTCAGATCTGTGGAGAGGGGAGCTTGCTTGCAATAATAATGCATGTGTTCCAAACATTTAAAATAAATTCAAAATACTTGTTATTTAACGCCATATTGGAACACCCTAGACAAACCAATAACATGTCCACTGAAACAAGCAGACAGCAGACCTTAGCCATAAAACTTACATAGCAAAGCTTTAATATTTACAACATGTGTCTGTGGAAGAAATATGTGAAATTGTACCTCTTTGACAGCGATCTCCATGGTAACCAGGTGAACACATACAGAGACCAGTGGCTGGGTCACACGATGATCCATTCATACAGTCACACTGGAGCTGACAGAGGACGCCGTGGAAACCAGAGGGGCAGGCTGAGGGGCCAGAAGAGCTTCAGGTTAGAAATATGACTTGTATAATCGAAATTGATCTTTATCCAAGTAAAATGGGATGTTCTTTATCCAGCACAATGTTTACTATTTGGGTAAAAACCATTGGAAGAATTGAAATGTTCTCTTAACTCAACATATTACAAAATGTATTAATTCTAAAACTTTTATACAGATGACAAATTGTATTATTTCTCTTGTTATGGATCATACCTGTACAAGAGGAGGATTATACAAACCTCTTCATGTTTTAAACATAACGAAATCCAAGCACTCCAAAGAAGTAAAAGTCGCAAGAGGAAAAGTATAGTTAAAAAGCTTTTATGTAAATGGCCAAAGCCAACATGTTTCAACCATGGCTGCAAAACATCTTCATGTATTGTGTGTAAAATATAAAGAGGTTATCAGAATCTTTCAAACTCAAATGCAAGAGTAAACATGTATGCATTATGCAGTCAAAAATCAATGAAAACAGAAAATGGGAAGAAAGTACGCCTACATGGTTTTCTCCAGGTATTGATATTACATTCATGGAATGGTCCACATTGGCTTTGTTAGACAATTCCTCTTAATGTACCAAGACTAAATTCTTTGTTCCTCTGCAGCAGGAATTGACATGTGGTGTTTCATGTAAATTTGATTTTCCTGAAATTTAAAAAAAAAAATTCATATTGACTTATTGCACTGGTTCCCTGTATAGTTGTAGTGACTCACCATGCTCACACACATGTCCATAGAATCCAGGGCCGCACTCACATGCTCCTGTCACTCTGTGGCAGGTGCCGTTGTTCTGACAGTTACACTTGAGCTGACAGTCAGCTCCGAATC